CTTGAGCCCAGGAGTTTGAGCTTGCTGTGAGCTAGGCTGACGCCACGGCACTCACTCTAGCCTGGGCGACAAAGTGAGACCATGTCTCAAAAAATTAAAACAAAAAACCCAAAAAAACTTAGTGCTCGCTACGTTTGGGCCACTGATCTTTTGTGGATAAAAAACAGGCTGAGAAATATGCTCAACCCCCAAACTAGGCATATTCCCCGAAGTGGAAAAAAGACAGGTGCAGCCACATGAAATTGCCAATATTCAACCATTTTGGTTCCTAAAAGTGGATTTCCATATGGTTCAACTTTAGAAGAGACAGGATCTTCCCGAGAGCCAGGAGCAATGGAGGACAGCAGACAGGGGCATTCCTCCCAGGAGATGGAGTCAGAGCCTAATCAGGGAACATTCCCCAGGCCCAGGGAAGGAACTCTTGAAATGTGTGCCCCATAGGATTTCAGAGTTTGTACAGAGCTGTGACCGATGTGTGTCTCCTGCTCATGGCCCTTTAGAATGGAAGGGTTTGAGACTGCCCTGCCACGTTGCAACATATATATTAGGCCTGCAGTGGGAGGTAGCTGGTCGTTTTGGTTCATAGAGCTCTGAACCTCGATAAGCCAGTCAACTCTTCCCTCTAATGAGGGAATTCCAGGCATCACACAAGATCCTAGATTTTGAGCTTCAACTTGAACTGGTGGCTGGATGGGACTTGGGGTTGCTTGTCTGGAGGTGAGCACGTTCTACCTGTAGGAGGTAGATGGAATTGAATATATGGTAACCAGAAGGACAGACCATTCTAGATTGTTCTATTGGCCACTAATGCCCCAAGCCCTTGAGGTCAGTCTTGGCCATGTAACTCACTTTGGCCAATAAACTGTGAGTGGGAGTGACGTGTCACTGTAAGCAGAAACTGTTAGAGCCAGTCTGTGCTTTGTCACACTCTCTTTCCTGATGAAATGACAAACACGACCAGTAATGTTCCAGACAGAAAATGCTCCAGCATCCTGGACGCTGGAAGAACAAAAACTGTTTGGCCAAACTGCAGCCGACTAGCCCTGGACAGGTGGTGTGAGTGAGAGACAGATTTTGGCAGCTGTAAGAGCCTGGGATTTTGAGTTTGTTACTGACTGATGCAGTGACGTGCTAATAGCTTACTTAGCACAGAGCCTGGCTCAGAGTAAGTGCCGTCGTTATTTTTCCTCCCTATGTCTTGAAAGCCGAAGAATCATATTAAAAGGCCAGGAGGCATAAAGTGAGAGTTTGGTTTGGCAAAGAGTCCGATGGAACTGGAGCAAGAGATGCATGGAGGGGAGGAGTTGGCTATAAAAGTGAACAACGGAGGCCGGATCGTGAAGGACTTGCGGTAGAAGCCGTATGTCTGGCTTAACCGGGGCAGAGGGTACAAAATAAAATCACCTTTGACATTCCAGTGACCCTAAGGCCCCATGTCCCTATCAGAAGAGAGAGTGTCTTTCTTACCCCCTCACCCCAAGTTAAATGTGAACCCCTCAGCAGGAGTCGGGGAGGTTACTGCTGTCTCACAGAGGATCAGAAAATCTCGGCTGTCCACCAGAGGGAGGGCCTGTGCTCCTGGCTGCTGGTTTCACTGCCGCTCCGCGTCACAGCTGAACGCAGACTGGCCCAAAGCAAGCAGCATGATAGAAACAATTGATAGACCTCACCACACTAAAACGTAAAACTTCTCAATGACAACAGACACCATAAACAAGCTAAAAACAAGCTATCGCCTGGGAGAAAATATTTGCAATTTATATAACAGATGAGGGATTAGCATCCAGAATATATAAAGAATTCTAAAAAATCAATAAGAAAAAGACAAATGGCCCAATAGAACACTAAGCAAATGATAAAAAACAGTCAATTTATAGAAAAGGAAATTCAAATGGCCAATAAACTTGAAGAATGTTCAATTTCACTAGTAATCAAGGAAATAAAACGTTAAACTACCATGAACTATATTTCACTCATCAGATTGGCAAAAAAAAAAAAAAAAAAGTTTGATATTGAATGTTAGTGAGGGTGTGTGGAAATGGGGACTCTTGAATACTGCTGGTGACGATGCAATTTGGCACAAGCACCTTGAAGAACAAGAAGTCCACTTGCTAGTATCTCCCCTGGAGAAAACGTTTGCACGTGGATACACTAGACGCCTAGGAGGGTTTTCACTGCAGTATTGTCCATAAGAATAAAAAATTGGAGAAAGCCTAAATATCCATCAGTAGGGGATTCACTAAATAAACCACAGCACAGCCCTACGCTGAAGTGCTACACAACTGTTTAAAAGAATGGAGTCAATCTGTGACTTCACATGAAGAGAGCCTGTTAGGTGGCAAAAAAATACATAAACTAGGACATCTTTGATAGAGAGAAAAGAAGAGAGAAACAGAAACATGCAAAATAATTTATTTTTTATTGATATAGATGCATAAACAATATTGGAAAGCATGACTCAGAAGGAAGTAAGAGCAGCAATCTCAGACTTGGGAAGGGACCTAGTATGGTGGTGGGTGGGGGGGTAAGGGAGTGGTCCGAAGGAATCAAAAGGGACTTGAGCTTTATTGTTAATATTTCTGTATTTTTTACAAAAGAGAAAAGGGAGAAAGTATGTATGGAGTGCTTGTGTAATTGAAAATTATTATTTATGAAGAGAAGAAGAGACTGTCTGGCATCCCAGGGAAACTCTTCCCACTGGCAGAAAGACAGGAGGGATCCGGGAGCACACGCATGTGCACCGCTGACGTGGGCAGTCATTTTTCAGGGTGCAGTGGGGGCGGAAACAGTGGGACAAGCTGACGGCTCTAACTAACACCACCAAGGTCTCAGTGCCTCAACGCAAGCTTCTCTCTCATTCACTTCACAAGGCAGTGTGGGGTAGGGTGAAGGCTCTGCTCCACACAGTCTCTCAGGGACCCAGGCACCTTCTTTCCATGTTATGGTTCTGTCATCTTGTGGCACTTTGTCTTTCAGGCCTGGAAGGGACCATACCTCGAATTCTATTGGCCAGAACTTAGTCATGTGGCTCTACCTGACTGCAAGGGAGGCTGGGAAATGTAGTCCAGCTGGGTGCTCAGGAAGAGAAAAACAGCTTGGTGATCAAATAGCAGTCTCTGCTACACTCAGCTATGGTGGCTGCAGCTCGTATTTGCGCAGTTGTTTTAGGACACACCCCAGCCCACCTTCTCACAGCACCTCCCCCACAGCACCTTCTGTCCCCCACCTCCCTGCATCCAGACATTTTTCCAAGGTGCCCTCATGATGTTGGCTTGGCAGGGGTTGACCATCCTCTGAGCCTGAATGCCTCCTTCCCATCTCAGCCCTGGAGAGCAAAGGAAATCACCTCCCTGCCCCCCGGGTCCAAATGCACACCCTGTTTTTAATCACCAGGAACTATTTCCCCAGGGAGAAAGTTCACCTTGCTACATGGGGCTAAAAGATACAGATTTCATCAGAAGCTTCTATGATGCTTTGGAAAGGTTCTGAGTAGGGCACTGATGTGACAAAATCCATGCCTCAGAAATTGGTGACAGCAGTGAGGAGGGTGGATTGAGTACGGAGGGGATAACAGGACCCCTGCCATGGTCTTCAAAGTGACTGAATCACTTAGGTAAGTCTGTGGCATAAGAAGATGACTAAGAAATACCCAGCTTTCCTCAAAACAGGCAAAGAACATGTTTGTATTTCCCAGCCTCCTGAAAGTAGGTCGTCTGAGAAGATGGACTTCCGGACACTGGCCAGTCTCCGACACGGGGCGTAGGTGCTGGACCAGGTCGGGGAATCGGCTGGGTCAGTGGGACCAGAGCAGGCCAAGGGAGAGAAAGCTGTGAGCCAAGGCTGTCTCGGGGGGCAGGAGCGTGGCCAGGGCAGGCACCTGTGAGGTCACACCCATGCTCGGGAGAGCACTGTGCTTGGTTTGATGCTCTGCTGTTGCTGTTTTGAAATTCTTAATAATTTTACCCTTGAACTTGTGTTTTGTGAGTAAAGGGAATGGGACGATGGGGCATGCACGTGAACAGAGGAGGTAACACGCGATAGTGCAGCCACTGTTCCTTGCCTCCCCGTGGGCATGTAGCATTTTCAATGCCCTGTGAGCACAGATTTCCCATGGACCCACAGTGCCTGGGAGTCCAGTGAGACCCAAAGCATGTCACTTCTGTGACTGAGTGAGTGGGGTGCTGACACTTCCCCTTCAAATCAGAACATGCCTCAAACAGGGAGAGTGTTGTAAGCTGCATGGACTACCAGCAACCATATCATAATCTTTCTTATCCACATTACTTCCCTGTGTTCACCAACCACTAAAGCTGAAAGCCACGACCCAGAGGGGAGGAAAAGGTAGAGCAGCCATAGCGCCTTCTCCTTCCAGTCCTTCCTTACTCGTCTGTAAGCATATAACAAGAAGTGAAATAAAAACGACGAGTTGGGCCAGGAGTGGTGGCTCACAGCTGTAATCCCAGCACTTTGGGAGGCCGAGGTGGGAGGATTGCTTGAGGCCAGGAGTCTGAGACCAACCTGCACAACATAGCAAGATCCTGGTCTCTAAAAAAAATAAGAAAAATTACCTGGTGTGGTGGCCTATGTCGTAGTCCCAGCTACTTGGGAAGCTAGAGTAAGTGAATTGCTTGAGCCCAAGAGTTTGAGGCTGCAGCAAGCTATGATTGTTACTATACTCTGGCCTGGGTGATAGAGTGAGCCTCTGTCTCTTAAAAAACAAAAAACAAAACAAAACAAAAAGAAACCAGTGAGTTGGTTTTGTGCAGCATTTCCACTGTTCTAGCAAGAACAAATGTCTATGTCTACATGAGCTATGAAATATGTGTGTAACTTAGGTGATTCTGCACACAAGTTAAATGCTCTAATATTTGGGTTTTAAACTGACTTTGCAAAGTATTAAGTGTATGTTAATAATTTGAAATTATATTATTTCTTTACTTAGAGTGACATTAAATAGGAAATATAAACCATTGTGATAAGTCAAGAGAGAGACCACCAAGGCAAGGAAAAATCTTTTTAGTTTAATATTTTTTTGTGACACCATTCCCCTGCTTTTTGAAAAGGGGACTCACATTTTCATTTTGCAACTGGGCCCTGCAAATTATGTTGCCAGCCCTGCATGCAGGGCTGCACCTGGGACCTTAGGACCTGGGAAAAGTCTTGCTTCTGGGAAAGCACTTTAGCTCACTTGCTTCTTGACCAGGGGTTTGAGCTGTTTTGAATTTGGCCTTGTCTCTGATCCTGGTGGCAGATTTCCCATGGTTCAGAGCTAGGCTTGAGTCAGACTGCCTCAATTCAAGTCCCAGCTCTGGTTTTGCTGGCTGTGTGATTTCAGGCAAGTTACTTGACCTCTCTGTGTGTCCATTTTGCCATCTCTTGAATGGGGATTTTGGTAACAGTACCTACCTGAAAGGCTGGTTGAGATGGTTAGATGAGTTAATACCTGCAGAGTGTTTGGAACGGCCCTGGGGACCTATAATTGCGACTCCACGTGCAAGCTGATATTGTCACAGCAGTGGAGGAGGCTCCCAGGTGCCCTCTCCTCTTGCATGTTGGTGATGCTAGAAGACTGGGCCAAACTCAGTCCTCATGCCAAGGAAGGGGCCTCGGGGAACGGGGCTCTCCAGTGAGCCCTGCGCTTCGGGGCTGGGGGTGGGGAACGTGCCGTCTCCAGGGATCTGGGTGGGGCTGTGAAGGCAGCTGTGGGTCTGGGGCTGTGTTGGGGGGACGTTGGGAGTCTCTTGGTCTCCATGTCTGTATTAACAAAGGGCTACCATGGCACAGGACCACAGACTAGGTGGCTCAAACAACAGAAATCTGTTTTCTCACAGTCCTGGAGGCTAGAAGTTCCAGATCAGGGTGTCAGCGGGGTTGGTCTCTGCTGAGGCCTTTCTCCTTGGCTGGCAGGTGGCTGTCCTCTCCCCAGGTCTTCACATGGTCACCCCCACGTGTGTCTGGGTCCTCAGATCCTCTTCCTACAGGGACACCAGTTATATTAGATTAGGGCCCACCTACTGACCTCATTTTAATTTAATTACTTCTTTACAGCCCCTCCCCCTCGACACAGTCACAATGTGAAGCAGTGGGTGTTAGGACTGCAATGTAAGAGTTTGGGAGACACAATTCAGCCCTAACAATGTCTGTGATTGGGGGGGCTGTCCTGTGGCCGCGTGACCATACACCTGTGTGTCTGTGTGTCCGTCTGAGTGTCTGACCTTAGGGGCTCTGTCCTGCACGTCTCCGGGGCTGGGCCCCTGGCTGTCACTGTGCCTGTGCTCCCGAGACCTCAGCACATTCCGTGTCAACTCGACTGTGCAGTGCGCGTTGCGCGCACGTTCGCAATCCGGGCACGCACGGTCCTGTGACACTAGGGCCCCGTGCAGAGTGCCACTTGCTCACCTGGGTCCTAGGACTCGGGTCCCCAGCTCGTGACGTGACAACGCTCGATTGTGCGCGCGGTCGCGCAACGCCATTCCTAGATGCCGCGCTTCTGCGCTCCACCTCACTGTGCGTCCGCACACACGCATGCTCAGCGCATGCTGCAACGCTTCGCCTCCTCCTCTGTTCTGTGTTGACATCGGCCGTTACCTCGCCCATCGCGGCGCGTACTTACTGTCTATATACACGCGCCTAGACGCTCGGCGTCTTCCGCATGTCCCCGCCTACCGCATCCCACATTAACAGCCGCGCTCGCCAGACTCAACTTGCGGTGTCTTCCTTCGCTGGCGCGGCGGGCGCGCACTCGATCGCGGCCATCGTGGCTGGAAGCGCCCGCGATTTGCGAAGGGAGGGCAAGGAGCCACCTTCACGCTCTCTCGCACTGCGAAAGACCGCACCGAGTGCGCTCTCACAAAGCGCAGGGGCAGCGGGCTACGCATCCTGCCCGCGCGCCGGTCGTGAGGCGGCCGCTGCGGGCGGCGCCTCGTGCCTCGCCTGCACTCTGCTGTGGCATGTTCGGCGTCTTCGAAATCGCCTCCAAAACCCAGACTACAGACCGCACCAACACTCGGGACCGCGGGAACTCCGCCTGGCGGCGCGCGCGGCGCGGCTGGCGGCAGGAGGAGGCCAGCAGCCGCGTGCCGCGCACTGGGGCACATGCGAAGGGCTCTTGTCTCCGCACGCCGGCTCGCTGTCGCTCTGCTTCTCCAGCGCAACAAACCTGCGCCGCCAGCGCCTGCGGCACGCTGCGCGCTGCGCTGCTCGCTCGCGCTCGGCGCCACTCAGAGCTGTGCCTCAGCTTCCTTACACGCGACTCATCTCTGTTCCTCCTACAAGTCACGCTGGGGCGTTTCATTACTCCCATTCTAAGCGAGCTGAGGCGAACTCGAGACCGCGGCACATGCCCAGTACGCTCCACGCCGCGCTTACTACCGCAGCAGCTTTGAACTAAGCTCTGTCCCTGACGCTCCCAGCGGGGGTGGTGCTTGGTTAAGAAATGAATGAAATGACATCTGATTCGAATCGAATAATCAGAAATATTCCCTGTGCTTTTGCCTCCAGGGCGATCACTGACCTGCCACGCCCACTGGCCTGTACTACGTGGCATCATCACTTTGACTCTATCTTTTTGGAAGCACCCAGATGGCAGATAAGACACCTGACCCTGGCCGGCTCTGACCAGGGCAAGCAGACTTCTCCTGGGGAAGAAGGCAGGAAGGGGGCTAGACAGGCAGAGGTTCTGTCCCCACGTCTCCCCTCACCCAACAGCTAAGTTCCATCCTTGGTTTGGCCTAAGCCCTGCGGCTTGGGGTTTGAGACCCCAGCTCCGCCAAACACCCGGCTGTTTTTTTTCTTTCTCTCCTGTTCTTGCCTTACGTTTCATCCCTCCCTTTATTTCATAGAACAGGCTTAAATGCACAGTTCTTTGAGGTTCGTTCCATTCATTTCAGATCTTGGTACAGTTATCCCCTTGGTTTGCACCACTGGGCTCTTTCTCTTATGGCTTAATCCTTGTGTGCTTTGTAATTTTTTGCTATTAATTCACACTGAGAAACGTGGGCTGTGTTTTCCTCGTCTCCTGTGTGCCTGGGGTTTGTTCTTCCCTGGAGCAATTCTGGAATCGTCGCATCCTCTACCTGGGAGCGAGGTTTCCTCTGGGCCCGGCTGAGTAGTGGCTGATCCAATTCGCAGGGCGAGTGCCCGTGGCTCCGGCTTTACACTCGCGACAGCTGGCGCAGCCCTGGCTCCGTTTGCTTTTTCTGCTTCCGCTGCCCAGGTGAGGGCCAGACATGTTGCCTCTTTTGCAGACCAGCAGGCAAATTTTTTCTGCTGAAGTTCTGATAGGTCGAGCTGCTGTCCCTTGTTTCATTTGTAAGTCTGGTACCTCTCTACATTTTCTGCAATGCTGTCTTCTTCAGGATCCCAGCCTGACCTAGACTGTCCTTGAGACCAGCCTCCTTTCCTTCCCTTCCTAGTTCCTCATTTACCTCGTTTTCCTTACCTACCGTCGTTTCCCTGAAAATAAGACTATCCATAAAAATAAAGCCCCTAGCAAGGAATTTCTAAGCATTTGCGCACCCTACCCGACATCAAGACCTAGTGCTGGGCATGGCCGTGCAGCAGCGTATCTGCAAACCCCTGCATTTCATTGTGGAGCGGTTATGAAGGTGAGCAGCCGGCCGGGCGTGGTGGCGCACGCCTGTAATCCTTAGCATTCTGGGAGGCCGAGGCGGACGGATTGCTCGAGGTCAGGAGTTCGAAACCAGCCTGAGCAACAAGCGAGACCCCCCGTCTCTCTACTAATAATTAGCAAGAAATTAATTGGCCAACTAACAAATATACAAAAAATCTAGCCATGGTGGTGCATGCCTGTAGGTCCCAGCTACTTGGGAGGCTGAGGCAGGAGGATTGCTTGACCCAGGAGTTTGAGGTTGCTGTGAGCTAGCTAACGCCAGGGCAACTCCACTCTCAGCCTGCAACAAAGCGAGACTCTGTCTCAAAAAAAAAAAAAAGAAGGTGAGCAGCCCTTCTCATCTGCCCCATGAGAGCTCTATTGCTCGACATGAGAGACTGGGGCCAATGGTTCTAAAGGAAATAGAGTTGCGAGAAATTCAGGATGGAATTCGGGGTTTGGAGAGTTATGATGATGTTCCAGAAGAAGACGACTTAACTATATTTGAATAAATGTAGATTGTTGTACTGTACTTAAAAAAGAAACATATCCCCTGAAAATAAGCCCTAGGGTGTCTTCTTGAAGAAAAATAAATATAAGACCCTGTCTTATTTTCGGGGAAACATGGTAAGTCATACTATGTAATGTCTTTTGCATCCTGATTCTGTTGCCACAAATTTCTTTGAGGGCCAAAGTCCCCATCTAACTTTGGCTTTGGGCCTGAACTACAAGTGTTGATAAGGAGTGATTTCCAACCCGAGCATTCCAATGGCCATTACGATTCCATTTCTGACCTTTCATTGACTCACAAGTGTTTTGTTTACTTCCCAAAGTTTCCTTTTTCTCCATCTTTTGTCAGTTCTAACAGACTCTTAGAGTAGATACTAACTAGAAAAAATAGCTAGAGAGGTGTCTGAAGATGGTTTAAGTTGAATGCTAAAATAAATCAACGGTGCCGGATTATCAGTATACGAGCCAGTTACGGAGTGGCCAGGTCAAATCCCTGCCCCAGGCCTGACTTAGCCATGTCACTTGGGGGCCCCAGCTCTACTAACTGTGTTGGGGCCGCTGACTGCTCATCAGAAAGACAGTAAGAGTCCTGGGCAGAGTAGCTCTGTCCCTCTTTCCCTTGGCGAGCACTTCTCTGTGGCTCCTGGCTTCATGCATGTAGCTCGGTTCCAGCCACTGCACTCACAGGGCCTGAGGCACCCAACCCATCCCATCCCCAGTGAGTCCCCCACTCACTGTCCCAACTCCGAGTTCCTCTGTGGTTCTTGGTGCCTCTTCTTTTTTGGCTTTGAACTCAACCATGCATTTACATGTTTTGGTCATATTTTATCTCGTATTTTAATGTGTATAGATAAAGAAGGGGGAGTTCCCATCTTAGCTGCTGTGGCCTAAATGTTTACGCCACCCCCCTTTATATATTGAAACCTAATCACCAAAGTTATGATGTAAGAAGGTGGGGTCTTTGGGAGGTGATTAGGTCATGAGGACTCTGCCCTTGTGAATGGGAGTGACACCCTTATAAAAGAGACCCCAGAGAGCTGCCACCCCCTCCTGCCGTGTGGGGACACAGCAGGAAGGCAGCACCTATGAGGCAGAGAGCCCTTGCAGGACATCAGATCTGCTGGCACCTTGATCTTGAACCTCCCAGTCTCTAGAACTGTAAGAAATACATGTCTATTGTTTAAAAATTACCCAGTCTACGGTATTTTGTTATAGCAGCCTGAATGGTCTGAGCTATTGGCTCAGTGCACTACATTAATTAGAAGTCTTTGACACAATTAGCTGTATTTCCTTGAGTAAGACACTTAGCTTCTTTGAACCTCAGTTTTTTCATGTATAAAATGAATAGATCCTGTAACAGAAATATCTACAAAACAGTTTGTTATAAGTATATGTAGACAGGTGTGCAAAGAGTTTAGCATATAACATCTACTATGTGCCTGGGACATAACAGATATGCAGTAAATGACAGGTGCTATTATCATTTCTGCTCCTAATTTAAAATAAAGATCTGGAGCTCAGAGAGATTGAGTAACCTGCTTAAAGTCACACAGCTGGTCAGTGATATAACCCCCAGATGTTTGAGTTTCCCCAGCCCGGGAGCCAGACGTGTGAGAGGTCTTCAGAATGACTTAGGCCCCAGTCACTGCCTAAAAACAACTTCATGAGAGACCTCAACTGAGAACTGCTTTGCAAAACCCAGTCAGGCCCCAGGTTGATGAGCACAACACATGGTTGCGGTCATGGTAAGCCACTGTTTGGGGAAGGCCTGTCACACAGCAATAGATAACAGGAACACTGTCCTGCTGCCTAGCAGGCATAGGTAACTCCTTGGCAGACTTGGAGAAGCAGAGA